TCTGCCTGTAAATTGATCTGCCTTAGTTTCCCAGAATCTTCTCACTAGTGGGCTTTCCTCCCATCCCCCCCATAGTGGATGGTGACGCAAGACAGACAAAGGAGGGGTGCCTCTTTGCAGAGACTATTCAGATGCTTGCCTGGAGGAGAACTTCACAGCAGATCTTCCACAGATTACCTCCTTTATCTGAGCCACAAGGTTTGGAGAGAAGGAACCTCGTGGGGGCCAATCCACACCGAAGGAAGGTCATTCTGATGAACAATAAGTGTCATCAAGCCCAGATCCTGAGCTTTCCTGTGGATCTCAGAGAAGTGATCAATTCTGACCCGTATTAAACAATCTTAATAAACAGAATTAGGAGAAAGATAATAAATACACACACTATGGATACACGCACAGATCACACTTAGGCACTCGCTCGGACCGGTCCACTCTTTCACACGGGTGTGCACCACACTCACCAGTCACCCTGGGACTCCCAAATATGCCCAAAGGGCATGCACATGATTTTTCACCTCCAGAGGGTTTAGTTCTTCCAAGTGAAGAGATCGGAAGTAGGGAAAGGCCAGTGCTGGCCCGGGAGTGGCAATAGAGAGTTCGGGGTTCAGGGGCAGAGGAGGAGCAGAGTAAGTGGGGGCCCCTTCTCCCCCCGGCCTGGCACTCCTGCCTAAGGCTCCTGGTCCGGGTACCCCCGGGGAGCAGGCTGGTAGATGACTCCCTTGACCTGGAAGATAAGCGGCAAGTGGAACGATCCCTCGGGGGGCCAACCAATCTGGAACGTCGGCCATCCTGCTGAGCAAAAGGTCTGCCATTTAGGCTTTTTAACAATCAGAAAAAGATTCTGAGCACGAGAGCAGACCTCTGACCAGTGGGAGAGAGTGAGTGAGAGGAGTGGACGGAGATTGTCCCATGGTTCCAAAGATGGTGTCTCGGTAGAGAAAAAGGACGAGCGTGATCCAACCTACAAAAAAGAATGACGCAAGCGCAAGGCCTTTTGGAGAGGAAAGAAGAATAGAGAAGTAATAGAGCGGCCGATGATTCCTGACACACCAGATGTAGCCTCTCCGAGGCTACCACAAAAGAGGCCTCCAGGCGTCCCTGGCCCTCATCCACCTCCGGGGCGTCCCCCAGGGCTGCGGCCCGTGTCTATTCCCGACACGTCTGTCAGACACAAGGCTCGCACACACAACAGTGTGCTGCACACCTCTGTCACTGTGCTGCACACCACTGTGCTTGTGTCACCGATCGGTAACTACAGTAAAACGGTACCGGAGAAACAAAGAGAGAGAAAGAGGCGCCTTAACTTACCCCGCGGCTCAATCCTGCGTCCCTGGGGCAGGGTCCTCGGTGGTCTCGGTGGAACCTCCAAATGTTGGGATCGGGAGTTCCCTGGCCCTGGGAGGCGCGGAGAGACCAGATAGACACAATTCCTGCAGGAGTAAAAACGGGGTTTATTTAGACCAGCATGCTGGGGCTCCGCAGCATACCCCAAAAATGGGCAGTGGCTGAGAGCCCCGAACTTCTTCAAAGGGGATCTTATATAGGCCTTCACTGGCCGTTACAGCAAAGCCCGCGCATTTCATAGCCAATAGATTTGTAACAACATATACTTTCTTAACCAATCCATTTAAAAGTACCTCACTCCTTAGCCTATAGATTCAAAGATCAGCATTTACGTATATCGATTGTCAGCACAAGCAAGGTTATAGCTGGAATCATTAAGCCTTAGGTAATCTCCCTTGACCATCCTCGTTTTGTGTTACCCAAGTCTGCAGGGTGCTTTAGTGAGACAATACATTCCAGGAAAGGGCAATTTCCCCCAACCACCAGCATCCTGAGTTAGCCTTTACCCAAATCTGCAGGGTGCTTTACTGAGACAATACATTTCAGGGACAGTAAATACACCTGAATCTTGTAGAAAGAAGTTATGCCCTGTTCACTTTGCAAGTCCCCTCTCCCCCAGGTGCAAAGCAGCCAAGCAGTTTTACAGAAAGCAATGTTGCAAGTTAGCTAAAGTACACAAAAATTTGATGCCCTAATATGGATTCTTTCAAGGATATAGACCTCCCCATGAAATTCCTCTTTTTGGACCTCCCTGGTAACCTCCTTAGCAACGAACTTTTACCTGGAAAGAAGCCCCACGTGGGGGCAGGTTGGAGAAAGCCACCTGGAACAAAGGAAGGGCGCGCATATGCTGCCTGAGCCCATGGGTGCTTACGTTCACATGGCTGAGCACATGTGTCGCCCGCATCTCCCCTCTTGAGATGTGTACTTTCATGCTTTCGTGTCTAACTTTACTCTCTCACTCTCTCTCCCTCCCTCCATACCTAAAAAGCCTCCAAATAAAACCTGTTACTTCACTGCTCGTCTACTCCTGAAATTCCTTTCTGCGAGGCGAGACAAGAACCCAGCAACCCTGGGTCCCGAGTGGCAGAGGCGGGTGGGGAGAAAGTGACTGTCTTTCTTCTCCTCGCTTCACATAAGTCACCCGTGGGGCCCACCGACATCACTAGTAGCGTTGGGGGGGGGGGTATGAGTATGAGCCTCAAAAGAAAAACCCACTCATTTGGCATAGGATTCTGTATGTGGTGGTACAGAAAACTGGTTGAGAGTGTATAGGCAGGTAGACAGGGAGGGCCCCCTCCCGAGGCAACGACAAAAAGCCAGCCCTGCAGAAAATAGGAAAACAGGAACTAAGGCTTGATAAGACCCTCACCTGGCTCCAGCAACAGACCCAAAGAAACTTCTCTAGGAACAAAAGGCCAGGAAAGGAATTTCAAAGAAGACCATCACCACTCCCATCCTCCCTGGTAACCTCCTTAGCAACGGGACATTTACCTGGGAAGAAGCCCCACGTGGGGGCAGGTTGGAAAAACCCTATAAAGGCCACCTTGAACAAAGGAAGGGCGCGCATTTGCTGCCCCAGCCCATGTGCTGCTTGTGCCCACGTGGCTGAGCACATGTGGTTCCCGAGCACGTGTGTCACCTGCATCTCCCCTCTTGAGATGTGTACTTTCATGCTTTCGTGTCTAACTTTACTCTCTCACTCTCTCTCCCTCCCTCCATACCTAAAAAGCCTCCAAATAAAATCTATTTACTTCACTGCTTGTCTACTCCTGAAATTCCTTTCTGCGAGGCGAGACAAGAACCCAGCAACCCTGGGTCCCGAGTGGCAGAGGCGGGTGGGGAGAAAGTGACTGTCTTTCTCCTCCCCGCTTCACATAAGTCACCCGTGGGGCCCACCGACATCAAAGTGATATATATATGTGTATATATATACATATATATATAATAGAATACTATGCAACTGTAAGAAAGGAAAAAATATGAATTTGCCATAATGTGGATGGAACTAGAGAGTATTTATTGTGTTGAGTGGTCAGAGGAAAGATTAGATACAAAATGATCTTTCCCATATGTAGGATTTAAAGATACACAGTAAGGGAGCAAAAAAGAGTCAATGGCAAGAAAACTGGAGAGTTGGTCCACAGCCCCAAGCTGGAAAGTAGTGGGTGTTTAAAATCTTGGCGGATGGATGTGGGCACTCTTCAGGGAAGTGAAGAAGTGAGGAAGTGGTGGCAGGTATAGTGTTAGAATGATGTAAGTAGAAAATCATCATTAGCAACATTGTAAACCACAGTAACTCAATAAAGATTTAAAGAACAAACAAAAATGCAGTGAAAACTCAAGATGTCTCCTTTTTCTGTTAATACATTAACAACATAGCACTGTTACAAGAAAAGACAATATAATCATCCTTTGACTCTGCAAAACTTTTGAGAAAAAAAGCCTCAAAGCTTATTTTGGTAATGATTTACAGAGTGTAAATCTGATAAGAACTCAGTTTTTAGCTGCTTTCCCAGAAAAGGCTTCATGGACCCTAGACTATCAACATATGCACAGTAAGATTTATTGCAATTCTGTCAATGAAAGAAGTAAAGGGTGATTTAAAAGAAAAACAAAACAAAACAAAACTCTCAAAGCTGCGTGCATCATGTTACAATTAGAGAAAAGAAAATCAAGTTCTGCTGGGACACTCCTTTATGTGGGAGATTATGTTTTCAGTATGTCTCAGCAGATAGCATTGCTGAGAGAGAAAGACGGTATTGGCTGCTTTGGACCTTTTGATGAGGTTGGTTGGGACTAGTTCTGGTTCCTACCAGAGTACCAAGACCTCTGGGAGACAAGGATCTCAGGCATAGGACCCAATCCTTATCCTATCTTAGGATAATTGCTCAAAGTAAATCATACTCATGCTCTTCATTTCAAACATTCTGAATGTGTTGAAGGCTGGTTTTATGTTAACCCTTGAGGCTTCAACACTTGTAGATGCAGGTAGGAAAACAAAACCAAAAAACATCTTCCCTGAAGTGGCAACTGTTTTGAATTATCCTGAAAACTCTTGCCTACACAGCTCTAGAAACAGAAATTAAGCCATCAAATAATTTTATTCATTCATTTGAGGTTGGCCATGGCTATTCAAAACATTTGAATAAAATATGGTTCCTTGTTAGAAATATAAATGTTCAATGTATAATATTTACAATATCACCTGTTTTACAAATGAAACTGATGCGAGGTTGATTGCTACAAATAATGGGGCAGAAAACCCTATTTAACTTTTAAAAAGGGAGTCAAACATAGCTCATCAACAAATACACTCTCAATATTTCTTGATCTCGCCGACCATTAGTAAATCCTGGAAGGTCTGGAGTTGTGATTACTAAATATTTTCTTGTAGACGAAAGATGCGAGTTCAAATTTATCTCCCTCAACTGAAGACACTGCCTCTGCTTTTGGATGGGCTTATTTGCCAGAGTTGATGGATAAAAGAAACTCTTAAAATGAGCCACACGACTATTGTTCAACACATTTATTCAATATACTTAAGTCACCGCATTCAGTCAGGGCTTTGAAGAAAACCTACCACGCTTTGCAGGGCAGAGAACCTGATCTTTTCTTCTTTTTTTTACCCCACCCCCACCCCACCCCCAGCGAGTGAAATTAGCAAGAGGACCCTGACAGCTAGGGCGGAAAGCGTCTGAGTGGGCAAAGGAAGGGGGAGGGAAGCAGGGTGGAGCCCGCGGTCCTTCTGGATTAGTCGGCGCGTGCTAGATTCTGAAAGAAGAACGAACGGTCCACGCAGCAATCGGGAGGCTCCGTGCTCTCCCGGGATGCAAGTACGGACTCTCGGCCGTGTGCAGCCTTGTGAACCGAGAGCCCTGGACCGCCCGTTCCCCCTCGCATCCTCCGCGGTGGCCGTGCGCGCAGGAGGACGAGCGGGCTGGAGGCATCATCCTCATCATCCTCAGCATCCGCGTCCACGGCCCGCGCGGCCTCCCGCGCCCGGGGCTTCCTCCCGGCCGGAGGAGAAAGTTCCGTGGGGGTGTGCCCTAGCGATCCTGCAGCTGCGGACGGGAAAGGCGCAGGCCAAGGCCGCGAGCCCGTCCCCGCAGCTTACCCGCACCGATTCGTAGCGCTCGGCCCCGGGTCACTCCGGGAGAGCCGGCCAGGCCCGGAGCTGGGGCGCCGCGGCCAGAGAGGGGTGGGCAGGGGCGCGCGGGCGCGGAAGGGCGCCCCCCGGCTGGCCGAGCCCGCACCTGCCGGCAGGCCCCGGGGAGGCGGCGCCCGGGCGGGGCGGCGCGGCGGGGGGCGCGGGCGCGGCGGCACGGCTGGAGGCGCTGCGGCGCCAGTGCGTCACGCCGGCGGAGGGCACGGTGGGCTGCGCTGGACCCGGGCCGGCGTGCGGGGCGAGGGGCAGGCACCGCGCCCGCCCTGGGAGAGCCGGGATCGGCCGGCTCGGTGGCTCCCAGCCTGCGTTCATTCATTCCTCCCCGCGGCTCCGCCTCCCGGCCCCGGCCCCGCGGCCTCCGGGGGCGCGTCCGAGGTGAGTGCGCCGCGCGGCCGGGCGCGGGTGGGGCAGCCGGGGCTCGGGCTGGCCCCGCGGGGGGCTGCCGGCTCCCAGGACCCCCCCTCCGTGCTCCCCGCTGCAGGCGGCGGCGCGGGCCCGGGCCCCGGGGGGCGTGCGGCCCGCATCCTAGGGCACCCGCGGCGGCCGGCCGGAGCCCCCGGAGGGCGTGGGGCGCGCCCCCAGGTGCGCTAGCCGCCGGGGGAGCGCCTCCATCTTGTGTGCGGGAATGCGCCCCCGTGCTGGCCTTCCGCCTCGCCGAAGCTGGCCGAGCCCCTTCCCCGTGCACCCCGCTTTTCTGCTGCCGCCTTGGACGGAGGGGCGTGGGGCGGCCGTGGCGTGTGCGTGCGAGTGTGTGTGTGTGTCCCTAGGGCCTTTTACACGCGGCTTTCGCCTCCCCTCCCCCCACCCAGGTGCTTCCCGGAGGCATCCCGACCACCTCCCCCACCCCGCCAGCTCCTGTTCCGCCTCAGCATTGTACTAGATTCTCTTCTAGAATGCAGGCCATTGCAGTTTTATTCCAATTCCGAACTGTCCGTGCTGCCAAAGAAAGAAATTTCGAGGCCCGCGTCCCCGGGATGGATGCGTGAAGCCTGGGATTGTCTGCGGCTCCGGGATCCGGAGTCCATTTACTCCCGTTATTTTCCAATGGGAGAAAGGATGAGGCATCTTCCCTGCCGCTCAGCTTCTGGAAATGGGCGTGGGTAGCTTTCTCCCAGGTAGATGGTACCTAAACACCTGAGGCAGGTCTCTCCTACCCCCCCACCCCCCACTTTGCGAGATCCCTTTTAAAACCTTAAAGATAACTCTGAGAATTTTTAAGGGGGTTGGAAAGGTTGAAAAGGGGGGCGGGGGGAGGGGAACTGGTTGCTTAAAGGAAAAGTTTGATTTGTGAACCTCTGAAACCGACCACGCAATTGGTTCTTTCGGAGATTCCTGGGAATTATCTCTACCCCTACCCCCTCCTGGCCCCCGCCCCCTCCTTGCACCTAAGGTACAGATGTAGTGGATTTTATTTATTTTTGGTGTTTTATTTCTGCATCGCAGATAGGGATTAAAATCTTGGGACACGGAGGTTGCATAATGTACATTTGGGTCCCCAGGTGCATCTGGCTTGGTTGGATAAACCTTATCTGCCTTACATTCCACCCTCCCCAAAGAGCTACAGATTTTAGTTACAAACTGTATTTTGTTTTCCTCTCAGAAGAACAAAGATGTTTGATGATCTGGCCCAGACTTAGATCAAGTTTCTTCTGTTTTTAAGGTTTGCTTAGTTTATAATTTGGGGGCGAGGGATGAGCCAGGGAAGGAGAAGAACTTTTTGTTATAAGACTGCCAGTTACAAAGAAGAAAGGCAAAGTAACAGATCTTTTCACTGGAAGCTTGTAGCACTTATAATGGAATCCATTCTTTGGATGTATGTTGAGCATGGGTTTAGGGCATTTAGAACTAGCTTTTATGGGTAGCAAAATTGACCCACAGAGTGAGTGATTAGCAACCTAAGATGCTTTAGGTTCTAAGAGATTCCATATTCGTCTAATCCTCTGAAGGATTTGGATCTTGGATCGTTACAAAGGGTATCCTTTCGCTACTAAAGGCACAGAGGGTATCAAACAAAGGGCTTAATTCTGGTTCAGAGAAAAATATTACAGTGTATTATTTGGAGGGAGGGCCAGAGAAGAGACATGGTAAGAGTTTATTAGGGCAAAAAATTATATTGGAGAGATAAATATATACTATAAATATTATATTGGAGAGATAAATATATTTACAATATAAATATATTGGAGAGACAGCCAACCTAGATCACATAGGAAGGGTAGAAAATGACTTTTATGGCCAGAAGGGTGGTAACCAGAAGTTTTTCTGGTGGTGGAGAAAGTGGGGGAGGGAGAGGAGAAAGGAATTAGTTTGCAAGACTACTTTCCTGGAGGGCATGTTACCTAGGCATTTAACCTCTCTGGGGCTGGCCAGCTAGTTCCTCCTGATCAACCAACCGATTTCATTCTGGGAGCACGGAAATGTTCAGTTTGGTGACCAGAAACTTAGCATAAATGATACCATTTGGGTCTTTTGCTTCTCCATAAATATTTTTGAGGTTAAAATTTCAGTATCAGATATGCTGTGTCTTCATTAATGACATGCCCTGTGGAGAGAATTACAAGGGAGAAATGAACGTTGGTTGTTGAAAGATGACTTTTGTTTTAGGGACTTTTAAATTGGCAAAGATTTCCTGCTAGGGATGGCAGATGCCCAGACTGTACCTTTTCTAGTATCTTGGGATTGCCAGATAGTTTTTCTAGCAAGTTCCAGTCAGACACATTTCCTGTACCTGTACACTGATTGTGTTGTGGAAGTGTCGGGAGGCTCTGTAAATTGAGTAGGGGTTTGTTTGCTTGTTTCTGTTTGGGGGCCCACCACTGTGCTCAGGACACAGAGAGAGATCTTCAGGGGGTCTCAGAGTAAGAATTAGTCTTAAAATTTTAAATCTTGCCCAGTTTCTGTTACTCACACTTGCTAGTAGAAAAGGGATGAATGTAGCAAAAGGTGACTACTACTTGATATTTGAATTTGAAATACATTAAGTACTTGAAATTGATTTATTTTTATTGATGTTGGTGGGCCCCATTGGGTGGCTTATGTGAAGCAGGGAAGCAGAAAGATGGTTACTTTCTCCCGATCCACCTCTGCCACCTGGGACCCAGGGTTACTGGTTTCTTGTCTTGCCTCACTGTCACTGTCCTCCCATTGTTTATCGATTTGCTTGAGTGGGCCCAGTAACGTCTCTATTGTGAGACTTGTTGTTACTGTGTTTGGCATATCGAATATGTCACAGGGAATTTGCCAGGCTTTGCCTTGCAGGTGAGATACTCTCACAGAAAAGAATTTCATTGTACCACTGTCTTCCCGGTCATCGATTTATGCGAGTGGGTGCCAGTAATGTCTGCATTCGTCCTAGCCCTGAGATTTTAGCAGCCTCTCCTTACTTGTCTTTCCCAGCGAAACTGCTGTATTGGAGTCTCTTTCAGGGTCAGGGGAATGAGACCCATGACTGTTACTGTTTCTTGCATATCGAATACGCCATGGGTAGCTTGCCAGGCTCTGCCGTGCGGGCAGGATACTATTGGTAGCTTGCCAGGCTCTCCGAGGGAATTACATATATATATATATATATATATATATATACACACACATACACATATATGTATATATATATATATTTCCCTCTGTGATTTGTTACCTACTGTCTGAACCCCATCAAATATGGTGTGGTAATTATGGAAAATGAGTAGGGAGTGTCTTATGATGTGTCCAGGAATATGTTTACTTACTCATATGTGAGGCTCAGGCTGAGCATGTGGAAAGCAGCCTGGAGTGTGGTGGCGGGTGGGTAGTAGAGGTCAGCGGTTGGTTGGGTAGTGGAGGTCGGCTGCTGGGGTTGGGTCCTTTGGGGCAGGGAGGGCTCTCATCCACCCGCTCTGGGGCACCTCGAGTGAAAACAGAAAAGAATTTCAGGAGTAGACAAGCAGTGAAGCAAAACAGATATATTTTTTTTTTTAGATTTTGAAGGGAAGGAAGAAGAGAAAGTGGGAGAGAGTGGAGAGTTAAGTGCTCAAGAGAGAACCTGGGGTTCTCCAAGGGTGGAGAGAGCACCTACACACATCCCAGCATTAGACATGAAAGAATTCAAGAGGGGAGATGTGAGTGCCTTGGCCACTGGGCTCGGACAGTGTATGCATGCCCTTCCTTTGTTCAGGGTGGCTTATTAGGATTTTTTCCAACCTGCACTCAGGTGAGGCTTCTACCTAGGTAAAAGTTTGTTGCTAAGGAGGTTTCCAAAGTGGGTAGGGCTGGGAGTGGTGATGGTCTTCTTTGAAATTCCTTTCCTGGTCTTTTGTTTCTGCTGGAGCTTCTCTGGGTCTGTTGCTGGTGACAGATAAGGGTCTTATTAGGCCTTAGGTTGGCTTTTACAACTTCAGGGATATTATGTCCCAGGAAATTTACTGTCATTGCCTTGGGAGGGGGCTATCTGCCTGCCTGCCAACATCATTATCTGGGGATTGAACCCAGGGTCTCACACATGCAAGGCAGAAGCTCTTGAATCACATCCTTGGCCTCAGGTTAACTTTAAGCTCCATTCGTTGGTGTGTTTTCAAACTATGAAAAAAATTAGAGGTGGTTCTGAATAAATTTTATTTGGAGAAAACTTTTATACCTGAACAGATAAAAAGAAAAAAAAAGGAGGAAGTAGGTTTTTTAAATGCCCCATGTAGTTTTCTAATTTCAGATGTATAACTACTCATCTGAAGAGTGGAAATTGTGCTTGCTCTTCCGTCTTCTTTTTCAGAATTCTTTTACTGATTTTGAATGGAGATCAGGAGATCAGGGAAGTGCTTGTACCTTTACAGCTTTGGGCAGAGAAAGATGTTCTTCCTGGAATTGGAAGGGTCAGTTGTAATTAAGAATGCTTTTTCAGTCTGGTCTGTATTTTTATGTGGGATTATTCATAGGTAGAATTTTTGGTTTGAAATTCCCACTTTTCAAAACTTAGAAGTTTTATTTAGAGAAACGTGAGTGTGTG